AGAGGTCTCAAACCTACTAATAGACGCCCCAGCCATATTAACTTACTCAGAGATCTTAAACCTACTGATAGCCGCCCCAGCCATATTTACTTGCTCAGAGGTCTCAAACCCACTGATCGACGTCCCAGCCATATTAACTTACTCAGAGATCTTAAACCTACTGATAGACACCCCAGCCATATTTACTTACACAGAGGTCTCAAACCTAATGATAGATGCCCCAGTCATATTTACTTACCCAGGGGTCTCAACCCTACTGAAAGCCGCCCCAGCCATATTTAATTACTCAGAGGTCTCAACCCTCCTGATAGACGCCCCAGCCATATTAACTTACTCAGAGGCCTTAAACCTACTGATAGACGCCCCAGCCATATTTACTTAATAAGAGGTCTCAAACCTACAGATAGACCCCCCAGCCATATTTACTTAATAAGAGGTCTCAAACCTACGGATAGCCGTCCCAGCCATATTTAGTTACTCAGAGGTCTCAAATCTTCTGATAGACGTCCCAGCGATATTTACTTACTCAGACGACTCAAACCTACTGATAGATGTCCCAGCCATATTTACTTCCTCAGAGGTCTCAACCCTCCTGATAGATGCCCCAGCCATATTTACTTACTCAGAGATATTGCAAACTTATTTACTGTCGGGGGACGTCAAAGCCATATTTACTTCCTCAGAGTTCTAAACCCTACTGATAGACGCCCCAGCCATATTTAATTACTCAGAGGTCTCAAAACTACTGTTAGACGTCCCAGCCATATTAACTTACTCAGAGATCTTAAACCTACTGATAGCCGCCCCAGCCATATTTACTTCCTCAGAGTCCTCAACCCTACTTAAAGACGCCAAAGCCATATTTACTTACTAAGAGGTCTCAAACCTACGGATAGACCCCCCAGCCATATTTCCTTCCTCAGAGGTCTAAAATTTTCTGAAAGCCGCCCCAGCCATATTTAATTACTCAGAGGTCTCAACCCTACCGACAGACCTCCCAGCCATATTTACTTAATAAGAGGTCTCAAACCTACGGATAGCCGTCCCAGCCATATTAACTTACTCAGAGATCTTAAACCTACTGATAGACACCCCAGCCATATTTACTTAATAAGAGGTCTCAAACCTACAGATAGACCCCCCAGCCATATTTCCTTACTCAGAGGTCACAACCCTACTGATCGACGCCCCAGCCATATTAACTTACTCAGAGATCTTAAACCTACTGATAGCCGTCCCAGCCATATTTAGTTACTCAGAGGTCTCAAATCTACTGATAGACGTCCCAGCGATATTTACTTACTCAGAGGACCAAATTTAAATCATATTAACTCGCAAAGAAATCTAAAGGCTATATTAATAACATCTCTGTTGATTGAAATCTTTACATCACAGCTACAGCCTTTATAATGATTCTCTAAAATGAAAAAATAGCATCCGCCCCAGCCATATTTACTTCCTCAGAGCTCTTAAACCTACTGATAGCCGTCCCAGCCATATTAACTTACTCAGAGATCTTAAACCTACTGATAGACACCCCAGCCATATTTACTTAATAAGAGGTCTCAAACCTACAGATAGACCCCCCAGCCATATTTACTTGCTCAGAGGTCTCAAACCCACTGATCGACGTCCCAGCCCTATTTACGTACACAGAGGTCTCAAATCTACTCTGAGACGGCGCAGCCATATTTACGTACACAGAGGTCTCAAACCTAATGATAGATGCCCCAGTCATATTTACTTACTCAGACGACTCAAACCTACTGATAGCCGCCCCAGCCATATTTACTTGCTCAGAGTTCTCAACCCTTCTGATAGACTTCCCAGCCATATTTACTTGCTCAGAGGTCTCAAACCTCCTGATAGCCGCCCCAGCCATATTTACTTGCTCAGAGGTCTCAAACCCACTGATCGACGTCCCAGCCATATTTCCTTACTCAGAGGTCTTTACCCTACTGATAGACGTCAAAGCCATATTTACTTCCCCAGAGGTCTCAAACCTACTTATAGACGTCCCAGCCATATTTGCTTACTCAGAGGTCTCTAACCTACTGATAGACGTCCCACCCATATTTACTTACTCAGACGACTCAAACCTACTGATAGTCGTCCCAGCCATATTTACTTACCCCGAGGTCTCAAACCTACTTATTGATGTCCCAGTCATATTTACTTACTCTGAGGTCTCAAACCTACAGATAGACCCCCCAGCCATATTCATTTACTCAGAGGTCTCAACCCTCCTGATAGATGCCCCAGCCATATTTACTTACTCAGAGGTCCAAATTTAAATCATATTAACTCGCAAAGAAATCCAAAGGCTATATTAATAACATCTCTGTTGATTGAAATCTTTACATCACAGCTACAGCCTTTATAATGATTCTCTAAAATGAAAAAATAGCATAACATCTGTGAATTAAAGGTGCATGTGTAGAAAACACATCTTTTTATGTATTACAATAACATCTCTATAAGATTGAAGGTCACCTTCTCTGTGCTGTTAATATATGGAGATTGAGATGGTTGTTATATATTATGGATATATTACCTAACCACATTATAAATTATGCTATATATGTGACTCAAGTAACAAAGAATTTCCTTGATAAGTTCCATATGTTATAAGAAATGATAACAGGATTGCTAACAAATACCTGTAGTGTGAAAAATGTATTGCGTAAGAGTGTGGCTATTCTGGGCAGCGATGCTGTCCAAGAACTTGCTTTCACAGATTTGCAATTATCATCAGACGAAATTAAACACATGTGAGGAACTCTTATCTTGATGATTTTTGTGTTAGAATTACGTCTGGCATACCTGGTACATGTAATGTGCTATATATAGAAATACACATTATGAGGCTCAGCATGACGAAGAATATGTATCATAATTTTATTTTAAAAGTTGGTTGTGATATCTCTATGTCCTGCCAGTACATGCCACTTAAGTGGTAGATGTGTGTGTAGTAACTGAGGCTAGTGTAGCACACACACACACACATACAGGATTACACACACAGGGTCCTGTACTACATTATGACCTTGCTGTTGTAGCTGTAACCCAGTCAGACATCAATAATTAGAGGGCATCAGTCATCTCGATGTATATGGGGAGGATTACTGTAACTGCAGGCTTGTCTCACACAGGAAGTTTATATGACCGGCACTCTGCAATCAATAGCTGTACTTTTCCATGGGAATCTGATTATTGTATACCTAGTAGCCAGTATAATTAGGAGACACTGGAGACCAAGTACCTAGGCTGTACTAGACCAAATACCTAGGCTGTACTAGACCAAGTACCTAGGCTGTACTAGAACAAGTAGCTTTAGACCACATTTTGTCAGTAGTATGTTGTGGTATACAGTTGTGGATAAGTAAAAAGCTGTGGACTACCCTATACAAGTGGGACAAGGCGGTGTGGAATCTTGACTGCATGCCTGTGTACACAAGTGTGTGTTCCTGATGTGATAGGTATTGATCCCACTATCAGACACTGAGGATGGATTTATAATTATTTGTAGTGTCTGGGTCTGATGAGTCTTTCATCATACATCACATGCAGATTAGTTGTTCCTGACCAAGTATTTGTGACAGAGTCTGACGAAATCCATGCTAGAACTTGCTAATTTTGGCTAAGTTGTGTTGCCTATAAGAGCTGACAAGGTTTGTGTTGGAGCTGGAGAGGTTTTAGAGTTGTGGTACATGACCTTGACTGACCCTGGCTGCTGTTATGAATGGCACTGGTGTTAATTGCCAAGATGGCAGCACCAAGGAGTGCCACAGAGATGGTAGCATCAAATGTCAAAGGGATGGCAGTAAGAAATATCATCGGAGGAAGGGTTCGAAAAAGTGTGAACCAAACACTGTGAGTGATAGCAAGGTTAAATGGTTATTGTGTACTGGCAGCCATGTTGTTATGTTTCACCCACATACTAGTAGTGAACCCTGCCAGACTTTGGTATGGAACATTCCATTAGAATAATCAGGAAAGATAGCTATAGTGGAGTGTTGTATGTCTGTAGCATGTGGCATGTGTAACACCATGTAAAAAACTAACTCTTTGATTGTTAAGTTTTATAAACATATACTGTCTTAACTAGTTACTATTACACGTATGTCAGAGAGTCTATAGCTGCCTGGGTTGTGGAATATAGCCTGTTAAACGTGTGTTATTGGTTTGTTGTGTAGTGAAGACTACATTAGCTCCGCTATTTTGGTATAAGATCACTTATTTAAGGTTCACATATCTGACACAGTGGTACCCTCGCCTTGTGGGGCATTACATGTACATCTGTAGGTTTTGTACCCTCAGCTTGTCAGGCCATGTGTATATATGTCTGTTTTTTCTGCTCTTGTGATCTACACAATATCTACATGCTCCACTTTGGGAAAAGTCCTGTTAGCTTTACCTTACCTTATACACCCACCATCTGTGATGATTCATTTATATTAAAGTTACATGGACAGTGTGATACGATTCATGAAAATCATCCAAACACAAGGTGCATTGGCATACCCTTTAAACTAGACTTATAGGCATAATACCAAAATGTAATGACAAATTATTCTAATTTCTCACTGTTTTCTGACTAAACAACTAGCTTGTGAGTGCATGTACATAAGTGATGTCAGTCCATTACCTGTATGTAGTTATGATATAGGATACACTGTTATAGACAGCTGTTATGCCATGGGTAGATAACATTTTCTTTGATTCTCAGTCAATAACCATGACAATTGTTTCTTTGGGCATTATCAACTCATCACCCCTCGGCCCCAGGAGAAACACAGAAAAGAATCAGGGGCACATACCGTAATCTTCATTAGAAGCAAGCACATATTCCAGAATAATTTCTTTAGACAGTAAAAAATGTCCATTATATCCAACACCGCCTGTATATTAATGTCAGCAGTCAGTACAGTAAGTGTGCCATTCAATGAGTTCGAAAATTTATCAACATCCATAATAATTAATATGTTTAAATTTTTCAGATCGAGAACATTGTGCGTCCTTTCATCCTGTCCGATGATGACTATAAAGAGATCATGCAGCGCATGCGACAAAAGTTTGACGAAGGCCTCGGGAAAGAAACAAACCCTACTGCCTCTGTGAAAATGTTCACCACCTATGTCCGAGGTGTACCGGACGGCTCAGGTAAGATAGCAAACGTCTCACAGATATGTACTTTTATAATCCACCGTTTATCTATCAACCATGATTATGATTTAAAGTCAGTTCATTCTTTTCATTATACAGAAAGTGCTAATACAGAAAACATTTTTTTTCTCTACAGAAAATGGAGAATTTCTCGCTCTTGATCTCGGAGGTACCAACTTCCGTGTCCTGCTTATCTCCCTTGACGGACAGGAAGTGAAGATGGAAAGTAAGATCTTCCTGATTCCCCAACAGATTATGTTGGGCAGTGGCATTCAGGTAAAGAAAATTACTATATTGAAAACTGTTATTAAAACTGAACTGTATTAATCTAAAAAGAAACTTTAGTTTCATGCTTTCTTTTGGAATGACCATGAATTAAACAGTCGTTTAACACATTACCAGAATGTACAAAAGCATTTAACCTCCCCATCATGTGATCAATTTAATTCAATGAGATACTCCTTTACACAGATGAGGTACAATAATACTTGAGGTCAAATGAAATGTGTGTAATTGGTGTACTCACTGTATCATCAATGTGATGTATTAGAAGGAATAATTACAATGTTAAAGATTGAAAATCTTCTTTTTGCTTGTTTCAGCTCTTTGATCACATTGCAGAATGTATATTCAAATTCATGAAGGAACACAACATTATCCATAAGAAAATTCCACTTGGGTTCACATTTTCTTTCCCATGTAAACAACTGGGGCTCAACAAGGCTATACTGGCTCACTGGACTAAGGGCTTCAAGTGTGAGGGTGTGGAGGGGGAGGACATTGTACGCCTGCTTCACGAGGCTATACAGAGGAGAGGGGTAAGTTGTAGGGTATGGTCAGGGGCGGGGATGAAAGGGTCAGGACATTGTTTGCCTGCTTTACGAGGCTATATATACAGAGGAGAGGGATAAGTTATTGTACACCTGCCTCACGAGGCTATACAGAGGAAAGTGTTGTAGGGTATGGTCAGGGATGGGGGTGAAAGGTACGTCTGCTTCATAGGCTTAAAAGAGAACAGAGGCAAGTTGTAGGGTATGGTCAGGGGTGGGGTTGGAAGGGTCAGGACATTTCACGCCTGCTTCACGAGGCTATACAGTCGAGAGGAGGGGTAAGTTATAGGGTATGGTCAGGGTTGGGGGTAGAAGGGTCAGGACATTGTACCCCTGCTTCATGAGGTTATACAATGGAGAGGGAGGGGTAAGTTATAGGGTATGGTCAGGGTTGGGGGTAGAAGGGTCAGGACATTGTACCCTTGCTTTACGAGGCTATACAGAGGAAAGGGAGGGGTAAGTTATAGGGTATGGTCAGGGTTGGGGGTAGAAGGGTCAGGACATTGTACCCTTGCTTTACGAGGCTATACAGAGGAGAGGGAGGGGTAAGTTATAGGGTATGGTCAGGGTTGGGGGTGGAAGGGTCAGGACATTGTACCCTTGCTTTACGAGGCTATACAGAGGAGAGGGAGGGGTAAGTTATAGGGAATGGTCAGGGTTGGGGGTGGAAGGGTCAGGACATTGTACCCCTGCTTCATGAGGCTATACAATGGAGAGGGAGGGGTAAGTTATAGGGTATGGTCAGGGGTGGGGGTAGAAGGGTCAGGACATTGTACCCCTGCTTCATGAGGCTATACAATGGAGAAGGGTTAGTTGTCGAGTATGGTCTGTAGAAGAATAAAATTGTTTTGTAATACAATGTACATGATTTAATTAAATTGATCTTAATGAAATGTCATACAATGAAATATAGCTATGATGCCTATTCTTCAGGCAAATTGACACATTTACAGTGAAACGATACATATACCCCAGGGTATATACATTCCACTTTCATCAAATTCTGCGCCCTGTTGGCCAGTCTTTTTCACTGGAACATTGGAGCCAAAGTCTCTAACCTATGTAGCGTCTTCTCCAATGTTGTATGAATGCCTTATGTCTTGTTATTATATGTATACATGTTTGTTGTTTACCTCGTAATTACAGGACATTGAAGTGGAATGTTTGGCCGTCATTAATGACACAGTTGGAGCTCTTATGTCCTGTGCCCATAGCAACAGGAAATGTGCTGTGGGCCTGATTCTGGGTAAGTCACCATCAACTAATATCATTGGTCAAATGAAAAAATAAACTGTTTGATCAATGTCATGTCCAGTTTGAACATATCACTCCTTAGGTGATTTTCCAATTTTAATCTTTAGTTAACTGGAAGATTCCAGTGTTTTAACATATATATGTAAGTAGATGAATGGCTGTTGCCTAGCAATAGATTCAGCCTGCTAATTGTAATGTAATATTAGTATGAAGTTGGGTCTAATTGAATCGTAGGGATAAAAAGCCAGGTATTCAGCTAGTTTCATGTTGATGGATGTACAACTTTTTACTTACCCAGTAATTTTTCTTAAAAAAAAAGAAGATAAAAAACACCATTCAAATTTGAATTGTATATCTTTTATATGTACGCCTAAAAACAGTTCTGACTCGTACATTTTGTTGCTACAGGTACTGGAACTAATGCATGTTATATCGAAAAGATTGATAATGTGGAATTATGGGATGGGGACGACGAGGAACCACGTGAGGTAAGTTCTGTTATTAGATAATAAAGTAAAAATATGGACCTGTGTCTGGAAAAGAGACATCTGTTTAATTGTTTACTGCCCTCGTACCCGAGTCTGTGTCAGGAAAAGAGACATCTGTTTAATTGTTAACTGCCCTCAGACCCGAGTCTGTGTCAGGAAAAGAGACATCTGTTTAATTGTTTACTGCCCTCGTACCCGAGTCTGTGTCAGGAAAAGACTAGGTTAGAATAAGTTATAAGACATAATGAAGTTTCAGATGTAAAGTTACTTCATAAATCCTGGATTTGTAAGATCTTACATGATTTAGATTCATACAGGAGTCTTCCTTGCCTACATGTATAAGAAAGAGGTGATCTCACAAAACATTTTGTTAGCAAAAACATTTATAACAGTTGCAAAAATGTTTACACCAGTCTCAAATGGTATCTTCATGCACAGGTACCAATCACAACCTATGTTGCTACAGTAAAGTTACTATAGAAACCTATAGGAAACATAAATGATGACCGGTACCTAGTGTGACGTCATGCTCATTTACAACTGTGTTTATCTTCCCTGTTACTAGGTGATGATCAACACAGAATGGGGGGCATTTGGTGATGACGGAGCTCTTGACTTTATCAAAACTGATTACGACAGAAAAGTCGACAAAACTTCTATCAATGCTGGTAAACAGACGTAAGTATTCTCTCTCTTTCAAAGGAGAGTAAAATACTAATAAAAAAAATTCTTATGTCTATACGTGTATAGTAATATTAATTCATAATAGGTTATGTATGATTTTAAGGAAAAGACTGGTATATCCTACTCTTCTCTTCGAAGTAAATATACTTCATTCACAACTGTGTACTATCTGATATTTTGTATATATTTAAACTACTGTTTCAAAAATGAAATAATCTGACATTGAAATGATTTTGATAATCCTTTCAAATAATGAAAGAAGGAGATTTTGAGGGATTTGTATTTGAGAGATAATCATACAAAGTAATTGTATAAGTTTGATGTTTGTTATAACTATCCTGATCTTGTCTTTGATAGTGGCATGATCTTCATTGTTAATTCACAGGTACGAGAAAATGATCTCCGGTATGTACATGGGAGAGATTGTCCGACTCCTACTGGAGAAGCTCCGAAAGGGTGGTCATCTATTTGGGGGAAAGGGTTCTGAAGAGATGTCAACAAGGGGTCGATTCTACACCAAATATGTGTCAGAAATTGAGAGGTAAGTGATAGACAACTTTTGTTTTGTTATACATTCAGTTTGTTCAAAGTTAAACATTAGATGTGTTGACCTTGACCTTCATTTTATATTATTTTGTATTATTGGTTCAGCACTACAATTTTCTTTTCAACACAAAACTTTGAATATATAGTGGAGAATTTGACCTTTCATGAAATAGAGACTTATATTTTATATGGCTGTAAGTTTCTTCATAATATTTAAAACAAGTTTTTTTGGCAAAGTTGTAAACATTAAAATGTTTTGATTTTAAATAAAGGGACATGAGAAATAGAATGACGGGGTAAGTGTATCACGATCTGACTGGCTGTGTTCACTTTGCTGGTTCACACTGATTGGTTAAGCCACTCTCAAAACCACTCTCAAAGGAAATCTGTGTGGGTTGACTTAACATATTTGACTTTTGCTGATATTTAAAACAAATAATCTCCAAACCATCTTCCATATTCTTTTGCTAAAATATTTTTCTTTAAATTCTGTCAATTAAGTCACTTAAGGATGTATTCTTCTGAGGTTTCAATCATGTTCAAGTCTCGTTTTGATCTGGTGTAATGGGTTTTTGTAATATTTAACAAATTATGATCAAGTTTATTAGCAAACACACATCTGAAAAATATGTCAATAAACTAGATGCCTGTTGTTTGTAGAACTTTTTTTACAAGAATTAAAAAAAAATACCAATTTGGTGGCCATATTTCTTGCACTTCAAAAAAGGCCAAAATTTCACCTTTTTTGACACTTGATTGATCACTTAAATTGTCATTGTGTCGCCATTTTTAATTGTAGCAAGTTCAATTTTGCTGTACAACTTTATAATGTTTAATAGGATAAAAAGGTAAAAAATAACACAAATGGTAATGGGACAAAAAAAGAAGCACACATACCCCCCATTTTTGTGGATGTTTTAGGAAGAGAAACACATTTTCTTTTGATTCATTAAATATTAAAAAAAGTTTAATAGCAGAACTGTTTATATCATTCAAGCGTTTAATCTGCAAAAAATGTTGCATTTTCTACTATGCCTTTTTTGCATTTTCTACTATGCCTATACTATTTTCTACTCCTTTTTCCAAAAATCCATATAAGAAAAAAAAAGTTTAATACAGGATTTTTTTTACTTCTCAGAGGTGTACATCCTTAATATTTATTTGTATACATGTTTTATAAAAATAAATAATGTGAGAGAGAAAAAAGAGAAATTTAGCATTATAGTTTTTATTAAACAATAATGAAAAGACTTTCAATGGATAGCCTACAGAATCAGTTTATGGATTAACCTTTGAACTGTAGTTTAATATATCCTGGGTCAAGGAGAGGTCAAACTCCACATTCAAACTAGTTTAGATAACCTTTCACATACAGTTGTTTTCTGTGTTTTTTTGGTTCCTAATTATTTTGACCTATTTCCTAATTATTTTGACCTATTTCCTAATTATTTTGACCTATTTGTAACACATTCAGTTTTACTTTAGATAATGAGCTTAATGAAGTCTGCTAAAATAGTGCTATTGGTTGGCATTTAACTGCTCATAGAAGCTTGATTTAGTCAAGGTTAAATATTTGTTAGTTACAGGTTATATAAATGCTAAAAAAGAGGGAGACCTCACCCCAGGTTCATGAAGCTATACACATCTAAATGTTTCCCATTACAATGCGGTATGACATACTGTATGGGGGTTTACGCACATGTAGATACATATATATTTCACTAAATTCCAACTGATATACAAGAAAAGAGAAAAAACTTGTGAAAGAATATCACATGCAGGTATATTATTGTGCCCTGTGTATTGTGCTTAGGTGTAAATGTGTGTCTTTCTGTTTTATTTCTGTGCAATTTTTGTTTTTTATTCTTTTTGCTGTGTTAACTTTATTTCAATTAGATAAGTAGAACATTTGGATTAGCATTGTCAGTTGAGTATATAGGGATGGGTAATTCAAGGAGAAGGATTAAGGATAACTCATTCATACTTTTTGTTCTCTACTTGGGTAAAGGTATAACTGAAATATATAGGGATTGGTAATTCAAGGATAAGGATTAAGGATCACTCATTCATACTTTTTGTTCTCTATTTAGGTAAAGGTGTAACTGAAATATATAGGGATTGTATATTTAAGAAATTATCTTAAGCATATATATAGTAGAACACGTAAGAAGGTCAAGAAAATAATTTCAGCCTAAGCTAGATGTTTTTCCAGCATTTTGAAACCCGAAGTAGTAATTATTGAATCAAATATTTAGTAAACTAAACCATATTTTTGCAGATTAATCACTAAATGTGTAAATGAGTAAGGCACTTTTTAGAGACTGGATTATGGAATGATTAAGTTTATTGCATATTTCGTTGAGCTCAATTATATCTGAGGTTTGATGTGTAGTAATAGTACTATGCTCTGGTCCTTTACCAGATTATTATCAGAATGGGACTGGTCTGGTGGTAGGGCTTGGCCATACTTTACTTCCTGTATCAAAACTACTTCCCTATCTATCCATTCAGTTTAAATACATTTCTTATAATTTTTTAGTTGTTTTTTTGCAATATTTTTAATAAATATCGTCTCTGACATTTTAAGTTTTGGAAGCTTTTTAGTACTTCGTTATTTTTAGTACTTCGTCATTTCAGCGATAAACATTTTACATGCACTTTATTTAATTTGATAGATAAATAAATATTAAAGTGATTAGGATACTCTTGGTCACTTTTGATCCCTGAAACGCAGCGTGCAATGAAGTATTTTCATTCTATTGGAAAAAAGCTAGGTTCCCTTTTACATTTCTCCATAACAAATTAAATATCTTGTGTGAGGGACTGAACATGCAGACATTTTAACTATAGGTTAACTTATGACATGAGGAATAAAACTAACAGTTACGAAACCCCTTATGATGAAGGAGAAATTATATTTGTTGTTGTTGTGTTTTTCAGTGACGTTGATGAACACTTTAAGAATACGAAGCAAGTGTTTGAGGAGTTGAACATTGAGAAGTATACAGATGAAGACTGTCGTATCGCACAATACGTGTGCTCACTTATATCTACACGGGCGGCTTATTTGGCTGCTGCAGGTCAGTATGATTAGTCAATTAAGGAACAGATCGTACCTAGAATAAATTCTGCATCACATGGAGGCACGGTAGTCTAGTGGTAGGACGCCGGGCTCATGACCGAAGGGTTGCATGTTCGGGTCACAGCACTGTGTTGTATCTTTGAGCAAAATTCTTTACTACGCTTGTTCCAGTCAACTCAGCTGTAAATGAGTACGTGGTTGGGTAGTGCTAGAATTGTAGAATGCTAGCTGTGAGCACCGGCTGTATGCTCCCCAGGGAGTTGAGAAAGATATTGGCTGGTTGTCAAGGCCCTATAACCATGGATACTAATTTGTGAACCGCTTTGATACGACCTACGAACTAGGTTGTGATAAAGCGGTATATAAGAACCTCAATTAATTATTATTCTTTAACAATCTCTACAAATTTAGCAAACATGAAAGCCAGATTACAAACAGTACATTTATTGATGAATTCATTTCTTTTAAAAAGTTTTGTGTTTTGTTAAATTTGTGTTGATAGATCTGTTGATAGATTTGTGTTGATAGATCTGTTGTTAGATTTGTGTTGACAGATCTGTTGTTAGATTTGTGTTGCTTTATACCAAGTTTTTGGCTGTTTACAGGCATCGGTTGTATACTAAACAAGATGCAGCGTCCTGAGGTTACAGTGGCTGTAGACGGATCCCTATACCGCTTCCACCCTCACTTTCACGATCTCATGGTGGAAAAACTCAACCAGATAGTAGACCCAGGAATCAAGGTGAGTTTTTAATAAATCCTTGTCAATGAGGCTGTAAACAACCTCTCGCAAATTCTCTTAGCAAACAAACATTATATGGACTTACGTATACGTAGTTCCAGGACAGCAGTGGTTTGTGGGAAGGAAGTCAGCCAAGCGTTTTATGTAAACAATACACTTCAACAATACGCATAAAATTGTAACTTTCAAAAATCAGGATTAATCCTTTATGATTTTTGAATAAGATCCTTTATACAAATGAAACAAAAAATGTTAAATGGAGCCCTAATTAAAACCATACAGCTAAATATGTAGAATATTTTTATCAATTATACAGTGTTAATTATAGATAAAGGACTAGGTATAGTTTGGGTGTGTTTTGGCCCCCAAATGCATCAAAATTCAAAACCTTTAAATAAACTTTAAAACAACTGTTTCTTTTATTTTAAAAACTTCCCAAACACTGTCTAAGTGTTCATGAAAATATTTATTTGTATTTCTGATTATCGTGCCATGGTAACAAGTTCAAATTTGCATAAATTAGAAAATAATTGAATATGACGTGAATTTTGTCATATTTTTTTTCTCCTGGAAACTGTAGAGCGTATGCTTGAACAAACTCAAAATCAAAGGATAATGTGAAGGCACCTGTAATTCATCTTTAGGAGAAATATAAAGTTTGTTCAAGAGTGCGCACTATGGTTACTAAGAGAAAAACTAGGCAAAAACCTGTCAAAATTTACTGAATATTCAAATTTCATTAATTTATGCAAATATTAACTGGTTACCATGGCAGCCATAATTGAAAACCTAAATAAATGTTTACATAATAATAACAGGGAAGTATTCAAAATTAAAGAAACAGTCATTTGAAAGTTCCAATGAAGATTTTAATTTTGATGGATTTGGGGGCCTAAAAAGGCCCAAACCATACATAGTCCAATGTTATATTGGGTATTTAAATACATCTTTTTTTGCACAGAAAAATCTTATCCTAATAATATTTGAATCAATAATCCTGTATATATTTAATAAATTTAAAATACACTACACTTTAATTATCTTCTGAATGAGCCTATGTGGTATTTTTCTCTCCTTTGTATGTATTAAAAATAAGTTGTTATATTCATGAGAAGGTGTTAAAAGGTTTTAATTATTTTCAACCTTTCACATTTCAGTTCAAATTAACGTTGTCACATGATGGTAGTGGAAAGGGTGCTGCCATAGTAACGGCTGTAGCACATCGGATACGACAGACCAAGAGTAGCAATCAGCTCGACCAGCTAGCAAAGGATGTACAGAAACAAAATCTAGAGGGACACTGACCACACCTGAATCTCAGTCACCAGAACTCTTCCTCACTGACTGATCCTATACAGTCACTATTATTTTTTGATCCTCCATAACAGTCAAACTGCCAAAAATCACACAGAAATGAGAAGAAAATGGAGAATATTAGAAGTAATTTACAAAACACATTGATTAGCTTTGTGACAGCAATAACTGTGATTTATGGACTTGGTCAGTGACTGGTTCTAGTTATGGATTAAATCCATCTTAGATATCTTAAAAGTGTCTGTCTTGCAAAACTTTGGGAAAAGGTCTGCCTCTTTCATACGTTTGAACCCAATGGATCAGTGCACCTGCCAATGGTATGATAGTGCATACTCCATTGGTTGCTAGGCGATCATAATAGTAGCTGACACTGGCAGCTTATCAGATCAAGAAACTTTTGTTTCATTTTCAGCATACGCTTCATTATGTAGTTTTTGTTGACATTTAAGGAGTTTGTATGCTTATTTATAGAGATCCTTTGTTATGATGTATACAGGATGGTCCATTACAATGCAAATTGGTGTTTGTTTAGAAGAATGTGTGGATGTTAGATAGTGAGTGAGTGAGTGAGTGAGTGTGTCTGTGTGTTTTAATCATGATATATGCAAACATGTTTCCCTAGATTAATTTAACAATTGTCCCATTCTACGTGTTTCTTTTCATTCAGAAAGGGTTGATCATTTTGAATAAGCTGCATACTTTAAAAATATGAAAAAAAGTTTTAAATATATGTTTAAAATCCATAAAGTCATGCAGTATCAGTGTTCAGTAACATATTGGATCAAAACATGTTGCTATGGTTACTGATGAAGTAGCAGTAATTGTGCGGTAGATCTAAACCATTCCGTTCCCTGGGACATTACAGTGTTTGATAGTGGAAGTACATGGATGTGTGATTCCTGCCCCTTTTTGTCACTGTTTCGTTGTATATGATGTGTGTAATGTTTGGTATGTAAAGTGGTTCAGAGCTAAATTTATTTAAATATTAACAACTGTTTACAATTTTTTTTCAATTAGAAATTGCTTGTTAAATGAATAGCATAATTTAGATATAAAAGTGATATTATCATGATTACTTTTGTGAGGTCTAAATTTCTCGATCACCTTACAGGTTGAGTTCAACACAGCACTGCTAATAGTCAGTACTGTAGCTATGGTCTTAACTTACTCTAGATCTGAAGAGCCATGTAATTGTCGGGTTTCCGTTTCTCCTGTCCTTTCAGGCCTTAAATTTACCAGCAAAAATAACAAACTTTAATGTCTACACAACATTTTGTAAATAGCTCAGGTAGTAGGTCAGACCTAATTTATTTCATTCAACCTAAGAAAGGCATGCAGGGCCCGTACCTTCTCTGTTGTTGAGTTTGGGCAGCAGTGAATCTCTTGTCATGTTATAATACCATGGAATTGCGTTCTAGATTACATCAAACCTTGTTTTATTATAACAATGTTTATTTTACAACAATTATAGAAGACAAGGATTATTTTCCATTTGTTTGTTGATCATATAATGAAATAAATAAAAGTTATTCTTCATCCATTTTTTTTTATTTTCTTTTTTGGAAAACACATGTGCATTAATACCAGTATGATCAAATATGAAAATTTCTTCATCAGCAATATTTAATTTTAAGACGATATGGTGAAAACCTGTTTTGGGGACTCAGATGACATGGAATTAGTGTTATAGAACGAAATCACAAAAACAAGACCGGAGCCTGTCAGAAGTTGTAAACATATATTATACATCAACTGCTGTCTGTCAGTACTTTTGAGACAATGACACAACAACTGATTTTAGCCTGGACATCAGATTACTGTGAGTCAATCATTTCTAAGGTCAGGGTCTACGGTTCATCGATGTTACATTTTAGCCTGGACATCAGATTGCTGCAAGTCAGTAATATCTACGGTCAGGGTCAGGTTCATCAATGTTACATTTTAGCCTGGACATCAGATTGCTGCGAGTCAGTACTTTCTAAGGTCAGGGTCTACGGTTCATCGATGTTACATTTTAGCCTGGACATCAGATTGCTGCGAGTCAGTAATTTCTGCAGTCAGGGTCTACGGTTCATCGATGTTACTTTTAAGCCTGGACATCAGATTGCTGCGAGTCAGTAATATCTAAGGTCAGGGTCTACGGTTCATCGATGTTACATTTTAGCCTGGACATCAGATTGCTGCGAGTCAGTAATATCTACGGTCAGGGTCAGGTTCATCCATGTTACATTTTAGCCTGGACATCAGATTGCTGCGAGTCAGTAATATCTGCGGTCAGGGTCTACGGTTCATCGATGTTACATTTGAGCCTGGACATCAGATTACTGCGAGTCAGTAATCTCTACGGTCAGGATCAGGTTCATCGATGTTACATTTTAGCCTGGACATCAGATCAGTAATTTCTACGGTCAGGGTCAGGTTCATCCATGTTACATTTTAGCATGGACATAAGATTGCTGCGAGTCAGTAATATCTAAGGTCAGGGTCTACGGTTCATCGATGTTAAATTTTAGCCTGGACATCAGATTGCTGCGAGTCAGTACTTTCTAAGGTCAGGGTCTACGGTTCATCAATGTTACATTTTAGCCTGGACATCAGATTGCTGCAAGTCAGTAATATCTACGGTCAGGGTCAGGGTCATCAATGTTACATTTTAGCCTGGACATCAGATTGCTGTGAGTCCGTAATACCGGGGTATCTACGGTCAGGGTCTACAGTTCATCGATGTTACATTTTAGCCTGGACATCAGATCAGTAATTTCTACGGTCAGGGTCAGGTTCATCCATGTTACATTTTAGCCTGGACATCAGATTGCTGTGAGTCAGTAATACCGGGGTATCTTCGGTCAGGGTCTACAGTTCATCGATGTTACATTTTAGCCTGGACATCAGATCAGTAATTTCTACGGTCAGGGTCAGGTTCATCCATGTTACATTTTAGCCTGGACATCCGATTGCTGCGAGTCAGTAATTTCTACGGTCAGGGTCAGTTTCATCCATGTTACATTTTAGCCTGGACATCAGATTGCTGCGAGACAGTAATATCTACGGTCAGGGTCTACGGTTCATCGATGTTTCATTTTAGCCTGGACATCAGATTGCTGCGAGTCAGTACTTTCTAAGGTCAGGGTCTACGGTTCATCAATGTTACATTTTAGCCTGGACATCAGATTGCTGCAAGTCAGTAATATCTACGGTCAGGGTCAGGTTCATCGATGTTACATTTCAGCCTGGACATCAGATTGCTGCGAGTCAGTAATACCGGGGTATCTACGGTCAGGGGCTACAGTTCATCGATGTTACATTTTAGCCTGGACATCAGATTGCGGCGAGTCAGTAATTTCTACGGTCAGGGTCAGGTTCATCCATGTTACATTTTAGCATGGACATAAGATTGCTGCGAGTCAGTAATATCTAAGGTCAGGGTCTACGGTTCATCGATGTTACATTTGAGCCTGGACATCAGATTACTGCGAGTCAGTAATATCTACGGTCAGGATCAGGGTCATCGATGTTACATTTTAGCCTGGACATCAGATTAGTGCGAGTCAGTAATATCTACGGTCAGGATCAGGGTCATCGATGTTACATTTTAGCCTGGACATCAGATCAGTAATTTCTACGGTCAGGGTCAGGTTCATCCATGTTACATTTTAGCATGGACATAAGATTGCTGCGAGTCAGTAATATCTAAGGTCAGGGTCTACAGTTCATCAATGTTACATTTTAGCCTGGACATCAGATTGCTGCGAGTCAGCAATATCTACGGTCAGGGTCTACGGTTCATCGATGTTACATTTTAGCCTGGACATCAGATTACTGCGAGTCAGTAATATCTACGGTCAGGATCAGGTTCATCGATGTTACATTTTAGCCTGGACATCAGATTGCTGTGAGTCCGTAATACCGGGGTATCTACGGTCAGGGTCTACAGTTCATCGATGTTACATTTTAGCCTGGACATCAGATTGCTGCGAGTCAGTAATATCTACGGTCAGGGTCAGGTTCATCGATGTTACATTTTAGCCTGGACTGTTGAAGTATTCGTATTATATTGATTATCTACAAAACCAAATGCTCATTGTTGTTAACTCTCTTTTGACAAGATGGCATGTTTGTCGAATAGCAGCAATGAAAATTGTTCAGCAGGTGAATACATATTTATCCAAACTACAATTTTACATTTTTATCAACACCATGAAAAAACACCTCATAGATCATAGATAAAATAATAATATATATAAATAATATAAATGCTAGAACAGAATTATTGTTTTTAATGGAATCAAAGAGTCTGGATTAGCACCATAAAGTGTACTTCTTTGTATTGTATAGGGGGATGTTTCAGTGTTAATTCAATACTCTGGTTGTTTTATATATTGTGGTGTTGAATTGGAAAAACAAGGCTAATTCTGAGCAAGTCAAACACACAGCTTTAATAAGAAGTTTATGGTATTTAAGATTATGTTTTTTTTTGTAAAAATGAAATTATTTACCTCTGTTTTACCTAAGTTTGGTAGTATGGATGTACAAATAAGACAGCAGTTGCTATTTTAAAATGTTTCCCTCATAACTTCAGAAAGTGTATTCAAAATGCTAGGTAAGATTTATCTTTATTTCCCCAGTGTATCGTTGAATATATTTAGTAAGTCTGAATATAGGTTTAACCTTTCCTCAGTACATCTATCATGTTTCTAAATAAAGATTTCATTATTTATTACCTCAGTATTTATATTCGTAAATTTAAATCAGTACGTGTATTCATACAACTAAATGTAAGTTTATCTGTATAGGTATCTTCAAATATCTTGACCGTCAATTGGAAATTCGGGTACCTGTTTACGTATTTCAACTACGTACTACAAGATAAGTCGGAATTAATCATTATCACACCAATATTTAAAAGGGAAGGGGAGATAACCCAAACTAAATTAATGGTGAGATTGGTTACATGGTAAACGTGTTAGTATTGGCTATTTAGTATTAGCTACTTCACATTAGGTTTGACAATGATCATAATATTTAGTGTAATTTTCGGAAAGAACGGCTGCTTGTGTTCAACAAAAACACAATTTAATAAAGTCAGCAAATTTGCC